AAGGAACAGGGCGGGGCCTGTCAGGTTAGTGGCACACATGTAACCCTAGAAAGGCTTCTTCTTGTTCCTCCAGGTCATCATCTTCCCTTCAGCTCCTAGACTGCCCGGGGATTTCAGCTGCCTTCCCTACTCACCTTGTGATGTTACACATGCAAGTAAAGGCAAGAAGAAACCGAATCCTGGGAATTAGTGACAGGACTCTGACGGGCTTCAGCACTGCAGGCACGCAAAATCTGAGGGAAGAGCTTGTGCAAGCCAAAAGCCTGAGCCTAATGAGAAAAAAGGAGCACAGCTGGTATGGTTTGAGGCCAAGTGGAATATCTGAGCTTTCTTCACCCTGGTTGACCCCAGCTATCCATGTGTTTAGCATAATTCCTGAGAGTGAAAAAATACAACATGCAAAAGACCAAATGTTATTACAATTTTTTTCCACACAAAGATACTATAGTGTTGTATTCATTAAACAAAATATACAATAAGTGATCTTTTTGCATAATTTTGGAACAAGAATAAAGTAAAACCGAATTGCCAGTTGATGCTGTCATTTAATGTGGTTTCTATTCTATTTCATAAGAATCACAAAAACTGTAGTTGATCTGTTTAACTTTTTTATATTTCCATCTCTGAAAAGATTTCCCAAGTGCAGTAAAATAATGCACAATCAATCTGTAACATGGAGTCAGATGGTTGCATATGTCAAAAGAATCAAACAAAGCCAAAAATACCAAAATTATTACATTTAAGTAAAGACACTTTAAGCTCTGTGTTGTGAAAAGTTTCCTCAGGGCAAACCTGACAGGATGGGGGAAAATATTAAAGAAAAACCTAAGCAAGTCCAATTTACTAAAGGACTAAAGTGAAACTGGAGTACTGGAAAAGAGCTGAAAAAAATTATAAGGAATGACTTGTAATGTTAGTAAGACAGTGAACAAATTACCTAACACTTTGGATTAAAAAAAAAAAAACCTATTGTCTGCTAAGATCTATAAAAAGTGTGAGGTCAGTACCATGTTATCAGATATAGCTGAGTTGTATAATGGATGCAGTGAACAGTAACTTATTACAAGTGTATATAGCATTGCAATATGGTGTCAACATTGCAACACAAAGCTCTTCCATAATGTGTTTCCTTTTTCAGTCCATATTAGATCCCATTTATCTAGAAAAGAAGAGAGCAATTGAGGAATTTCCTAAGTTTTCTGTGTGTTCTATTTAAAACCATATCGAATAGCTTTAATTTAGGGAAAAAAGTGCTTCCTCAAGTCAGTAAATCTTACTACATTTTCCAAAATTGTTTAGATTTAGTTCTGAAAAGATATACCGAAAATTATCCTATGGCTCACAGCAGTAAGCTGGAGTAGGGAGAAAGAATTCTGCATGCAGCCAAGAGACACTGAAAAGAAATGTGCATTTAATTCCTCCATTTGATACAGGCTGCTCTGTTGCATGTTCAAAATTATGCCCTGTTCAGCAGTCTATTTTAGAGCAGCAGTACCAGCCCATTTGAGTTGTGCAGGCCACAAAAGATTTGCATTAAAGATGGATTTGTTGGACTCCCTTTTCTCATGGTAGGGATCTGACTCTCTCAGCAGAGTACACCTGCACACCAGGAAATGTCAGTGTGTATTTTCTGTTGCAAATAGATCATTCCTTTAGCTTACAGACACCGATAGATCAAATACCACCCACTCAAGTCCATTAACAGGCTTAGAGATTCCAGCCCTGACCACTCCAAAGACAAACTTCCCAAATCCTCTGCTCCAGCCTCAGCCTCCTACTATGCATAAACAGAAATCAAAGAGTACCCTGCAGACATGCTGTCTTAATGATTTTCAGTACCATTTTTTAAGTACAGTAAGTTTGAGAGTTACTGGTTTAGACACAGATACCAAGAGAGCAAATTAAAGTATGTGGCTATCCAGGTTTTTTAGAGCTTGTTTTATGACTTTATCCAGCTGCCTCTTTATTGAGGGTCACGTTATTGAAAATATGAAAGGCTGGCATAGAAAATCCAAAGGAGGTCTGCCAATTCCAGGATTAGGAAAATATTTTTATTATTATGGACTTAACAGAACATTCTAAATCTAAAAAGAATAGACACAAAACAAGAAATCTAAAGACAAACTACCTTTCCAATTAATACAATAAGTCAGTATACAGATCTCACAAGGGAGAAAGTGCCTTCCCACTCACATGATGTGGGAAAACCAAGGTATTTAGAGAAAGACTTTTTAAAAAAGAAAAAAAAACCCAACACTACAACCAAAACAGAAATAACGTGCATATTGGAAACGGGCATATGTATGAAAATCAAGTCTCAAAAGTGAAAAAGTATTCAGAATAGAAGGGCCCTAATGCTAAGGGGAGTGTAAAGTAAAGAAAACCAAGTGAAAATAGAACCAAAAACATAAAAGACAAAATGCCAGATCCTGAGTCTTTTCAAGCCAGAGGAATTCTTTCATTGCCTTAAATGACTTTTGGATTAGGACCACTGGCTCCATCAGTGTTCATGCTTCAGGACATAAATTTGGAAGCATCTTCCCAGATGGATCAATCTTTCTCTCACTTCCCTTTACATTGCCTGTTAGTATTCTGAATCAGATGTTTTGGTTGCAAAATTAGAAGCACCACTAGTCTGCTCTAGTAAAACAGCTCCTGTGCTCACTTGGTAAGTCATTCACCGCACAAAGGTCAGTATGCTCCTGGGCTCACTGTAGATTAGATATAACCAGTAAACATTAAATCAGCTATTATATAAATGGTCAACTATCCTACAGATACACAGAGCACAGAGTTTTGAGATGATGAATATATGACATGTTTTAACACCTTTACCTGTTTCACATGACGCTTCCAAAGCATCATGTGGGATGACCAAAGATTAAGAACAGAGAGATGGATGAAGAGGACCAAAAGTAATTTTCTGTTTCTTCAGTATATGTTCAAGAGAATGCATATTAATATACCAGAGTGAGAAATACGAATCACATTACAGAAGTGAGAAAACAGATCTAAGAGTAGTGAACAGGTGAAGTTGATTATTATAACAGAAAATTAAGAAGGTATTAATGCCATGTAGGTTTCAGTATCTTATTTATGTAACTAAGAAGCTTATTGTGCTGGTTTTGGCTGGGATAGGGTTAATTTTCTTCATAGTAGCTAGCATGGGGGTATGGTTTGGACTTGTGCTGAAAAGAGTGTTGATAATACAGAGATGTTTCTGTTATTGCTGAGCAGTGCTTACACAGAGTCAAGGCCTTTTCTGCTTCTCACACCACCGCACCAGCAAGTAGCCTGGGGGTGTACAAGAAGTTGGGAGGGGACACAGCTGGGACAGCTGACCACAACTCACTAAAGGCATATTCCATACCATATGACATCATGCTCAGCATATAAAGGTGGAGGAAGAAGAAGGAATGGGGGGACGTTTGGAGTGATGGCGTTTGCCTTCCCAAGTAACTGTTACGTGTGATGGAGCCCTGCTTTCCTGGAGATGGCTGAACACCTGCCTGCCGATGGGAAGTGGTGAATTAATTCCTTGTTTTGCTTTGCTTGCATGTGTGGCTTTTGCTTTACCTATTAAACTGTCTTTATCTCAACCCACGAGTTTTCTTACTTTTACACTTCCAATTCTCTCCCTCATCCCACCAGAGGGAGAGCGAGCGAGCAGCTGTGTGGTGCTTAGTTGCCAGCTGGGGTTAAACCAAGACACATACGCACATGAAGAATAAATGGTGAATGGAGACTGTGAATCCAGTCTAATGAGATTCTGGAAATTCCTGTTACTATGTCCATGGAGCCTCTGTTTTTAAATTATATACCTAATGCTAAATGGTAAAAATCTCATCCCATAAGTAGTGATGCCCAAAAGGAAAAAAAAAAAAACAGGAGAAAACAACAATGCAAACTTCACCCAAATAAACAGAAAAGTGAAATTTCAGCTGAAACTGCACTCCAAAGTTTTAGTTCTAGTCTTCTGCAACAAACAAGTTAGTTGAAAAACCACAGTGGCATACAATCATTTAGATATTTCATTACGTTGCCAACAGAAAAATTGCAACCCACTTTAACAAAATAGGATTTTTACGGATTATGTAGCAGTTTTACCCGTGCCACCTACTCCAACCTCAAAGAAAAGGGAGAAAAGTATGATAATTTCATGATATTTTGAAATTCCAGCAACAGGATATAGGGTTGTGCTGCCTCACCAGAACAACATCGTTGGACCAAACACATCTGTAATACAAATAAATTTTGCATAAGTAATAACATTAGGGA